GTAGATGTAGTGGAATGTGCAGCTCCAAAGTTCTTAGCAATTCATTGATGGAGGAAGGTCATTGGCTAATAAAGAAACTGCTTTGGCCCATTTGATAGGCCAGCCTTTAGGTGGGTGGAGTAAACAGAACAGAATGCTGGGAGGAAGAGGAAGTGAGCTCAGATGCCATTTCCTCTCCTCTCTGGGGCAGATGCGATGAAGCTCCGACCCAGGATGGACGTAGGCTAGAATCTTCCCGGTAAGCGCACCTCAGTGCTACACACATTAATAGAAACGGGCCAGGCAGTGTTTAAATGAATACAGTTTGTGTGTTGTTATTTCGGGGCATAAGCTAGCCAGGCAGCTGGGAGCAGGGCAGCAGGAATGCAGCCTGCAGCTCCTTCAACAATTCATGGATCTGATTATACAATTCTTAGGTTCCATCTTTGATCTATTCTGCAGGACAGAGATTCTGTTTCCTAATCAGAAATAGCACATGTTAATATTAACATTAATGTAGCATGTAATAGTGTTTGTAGTAATCTACTGTGTATTATGTAAAAAAAAACTAATAGCAGAAAAATTAGAACCTTGTTAACTTGAATAGATCAATTAGCTTTAATTATTATAGAAATATTTAAAAGCTAAAAGCTTAGATATGCCACCCCAAGACTTAGTCAAGGTGTCCAGAAACATTTAAGGAATAAAGTTTATTAGGCTAATAACTATTAAGGAGACCAATGCCCTTCACCGAAGCATGTCGTCTGAAACTGACAAATGCAGCCGACCTGTAGACAGGGAGGAGCAGCCACTTCCATACAGAGCGTGCACTGACTCACGAATGAGGAAGGACTGTGGCCAGGCCTCATAAGAAATGCAAGCCAGAGGAAGGGAAATGACTTTTGTGTTATTTATTTTCTCTTTTCCTTTGCTCCATCCTCTTTTTTTCTGAAACCTCTATATTTACCAGACACGAGATTTCTATTCATTATCTACAATCGGTCTTTTAACCTCTGATTTATGGCCAGTATTTTAGGCCATTTGCTTGATTCTGACAGAACCTTTTATTAAATTTTACTTATTTATTGAACCTATTTTTTGTAGTGCTGGGTGGAAGGAGGGTCTTGCACACTGATCTTCCATAGAGCTCCACAGGATTTGGTTCTGGCTCCGGCTGTAAAGTCTGGAAGCCTGCTCCTTTTCTCTCTGTATGATTCTGCTCCGTGCTTGCACTGTTTTCTTAATCATCTCTGAGATTCTGACTTTTGCCCTCTTGCATCTCTTTTTTCTCCATATTCATTAAAAACAACTTTTGATCTTCCTTTCATCGGGTTTTTTCCCAAATTCTGGGGGATTCTTGGCTGTTCTGGCCCTTTTCAGTGTTTATGGTGGCACCTTCCACCCCTAATTTTGGTTTGTTTCATAAATAACCAGGAAAATGGAGGGAAAACAAAGATGGAGTAACTAGGAAGGCTGGCTGGAATCTCATCTTTCTACTTTCTGTATATTCTGGGTGTTTTCATTTTTATTAGTTTTAAAAATAAGCAGATGACAAATGGGTTCCAGATGGCACACACTCTTAGTTTTTGATGAGCCTTCTCCCACTCCCCCACTTTTCCTCCTACCCCGAACTCTTCATGGCACATATCCTGTGACCCTCCTCCTTCACCTGCCGCATCCCCCAGCAACATCTCTTTGTCACCGATCACAGTCCCTTTTCTAGTTTCATATACACAGATGCACGCATCACAGACATACACACACACGACATAGATGCACACACAGACACACATCACACATATAACACAGATCTGCCAGTTCCCAATATCTCGGCTGGGACCTCCAATTGCTGCGCACGGCACCCCCGTATCTGATCTCTGTGCGCTGGACTCCAGTTCGAGGGCTTCGGGCAAGGGGGCGGGAGGTTAAAATACACAGACACACACAGACAGAGAGACAGAGACACGGGTCATCTGTGAATTCCCCAAGAATGCCCCCTTTATTGTGTTCAGGGGCAGATTATGTAGAGATAGCCACTCCCCAACCAAATCCACCAGAAACCACTCTCCTGCCATCAGGAACTCCTGAAGGTCTCGTGCTCAGAGCAGCTGTAGGCACTCAGATCAGGGGAAAACAAGTTGCTTACAAGAAATTCAGGATCTGGGGTCTCACTGCTCCCAACACAGATCCACACACATACAGATACTCATCACAGACATACACACGCATGACACAGATACATACACAGACACACATAACACACATACACAGACACACAGATACAGGGATACTCACACAAAGACGCAGATACACACACATACACACGCACGACACAGATACACACACACACACATACACACACACACACACACACACACACACACACATATATATATACACACAGAGACAAGCACACACATTCTTAAAATGTGGAATGTATACATGAGACAAAGTATGATCATTTATCTTTCTCAGCTTGGCTTAATTAAGCATAATAATCTTCTGTTTAGTGCATTTTCCTGACCATGTTGTCATTTCTTTTTTTTTTTTTTGCACTGAACAAAACTCCATTGTTTATATGTGTCACAAGCGGTTCCTTCTATTCCTGATTTCTTTAGAGCTTTTATCATGAAGGTGTACTGGACTATGTCCAGTGCTTTTTCTCCATCTACTGAGATGCTCATGCTGTTTTTCTGTCCTTAATGCCATTTATATGGTGTATTATATTTATCTTTAAGTATATGTTGAACTAAGCATACATCCCTAGGATGAAATAACTCTCAAGCATCTTTTAGGTTAGATGCCAATCTTCGTCAAATTTCAATCAGTTCATATTCACTTATACAACTGAAGAAATGTCCAAACAAATATTCGAACATTTTGAGACTTCATTCTCTCTTGGATCCTACCCCAGCCCCAAAGACATTTAATTTTGGTAGATTATTCTTCCCTAATGCTAGAATCAAGTTCTACTGTGGCTTGGGAATGATGATTGTATTAATTTCTGTTGCTGCAGAAACAAGCTTCCACTGACTGGAGAGATTAAAATAATAGATGCTTATTATTAAACCACTCTGGAGAATAGAAGTCTGAGTGTTGGTGCCATATGGCTAATACCAAGGCATCAGTAGGGCTGTGACCCTCCTAGAGGATCTTGGGAAGAATATTTTCCTTGCTTCCTTCAGTTTCCTGGATTCCAGTAGACTGGAAGTCTACTTCATACACTCACGTTATACCCGTCTGGTATATTGTCACAGTTCCTTCCCTCACTACTGCCTTCCTCTTATATCCTTCATGGACCTGTGTGACTATGATAAGATACTTCAATAGCCCAGGATAAGGCCCTCCCTCCGCTGATCTGAACATGAGTACAGCTTGCACTACATCAAAGTAGCACGTGCATTCACAGGTTCTAGGCGTTAAGGCATGGACAGTTCCAGGCATCGTTATTCTGCCTAAACACAATCAGATGATAAATTTAATCTTTGGCTCATCAGATGCTAACATATCTATTAATACTTCAATATGCTACCACATAGTAAAATTTAATTCATTTTTAAAATATTTGTGGTCACATCTACATAGTCCTGTGCAGCAAGGATTCTAATTGGTCTTAATAAAAACCCGGAGTCAGATACAGGAGTTCATGCTGAGAGATCAGAGAAGCAGAGCCACCATCTAGTTCTTACCTTTACTGAATCCTCAGACCAAAGGGGCAATCCTGTCCCTACAAATCCTCAGACTGAATGTTATGCGCTCCTGCCTCCTTTTACTTTGCCTTCCTCCCTCTGCCCAGCCATATCCCTTCTTGTCTCCACCTCCTTAATGTTGGAGTTAGAGGTGTGTGTCAGCACTGCTGGCTCTGTTTCTCTTTTTAGATGGCTCTTGTAGCCCAGGGTTGCCTTGAACTCAGTTTGCTCTGCTTCCCTCTGCTGGGACTAAAGGTGTGTACCATGACTGCCTGGCTAACTGGTGGCTGGTTCCATACTCTGATCTTCAGACAAGCTTTATTTGTTAGATCACAAACAAAATATCACCACAGTCCTGCACCACTTCTTTGGTCAAATCTCATACTTGGTTTCTACTTTTTCCTCGTCTGGATATAAGACCTCTTGGGTTACATGGTAATGCCAAGGCTGTTACCTCGTACCTCATTACCACTTACATGGGAACCCTATTCCTATGTGAACATGGGACATCACAGCTACTCAGGCAGGGCACCATGACCAGGTGGGGCATGAGTTGTAAAGGTTTGCATGAGTAAAAGAGAATTAAAACTTATAGCTTTGTTTCCAAATTAAGTCCCCACTGCTGATCTTTGCAAGACTGTATCCAGTTCGCACATGTTGGTTTCCTGTTTCCATTCTGAGATTCCATTAGAAGAGCCAAATTGTGGGATCAGGTAGAGTAAGTACAATGATTTTCTCTTGCGTGAACTATTTTATCATCACTGAGAATCCTGAATCAGGCTCCCCCTTGTAAATGTAACAAATAAGAATGAACCGAGAGGTTTTCCCCATGTTTTTGCTAAGCACCACTCCATTGATGGTTAGTTTTAGTCTCTCCTTCTTTGTTACTCCTTGAGGCTTTGGGGTGAGAATGTCTGAGTTTCCAAACCATGACACCCGTTCATCTCTTCTTTCATTATTCCGAATGGCTAGACCCCCAAGTTTAGAGTTGGGTGCATACCCCCTAAGGAAAACAGCCACATTTTCCAGTTTTCCCTGCAAAGGACTGTGGGCTTATTTAAGACTAAAGTTCATGGGGAAGGAATGTTAGTGTGAAAAATGGGCCGGAAGGGGACCCTCGTGCTTGGGACATAGACGCCGTGCTTCCCCATTTATTCCACCTCTGACCTTAGATAGGAAAGAAATCCCCCTCTCATTTAAGTAGCTGTTAATTCAGGATTCACAAATGCAATCCCACCTCAAACGTCACAGAAAAACAGCTCCAAACCTGCAGGTATCGAGCTAAGCGGAGGGACCAGTGTATCCTTCCAAGAATCAGAACAAGAGAACATATTTGCAATGATAACCAAAGACCTTTATTCCTGTCTTTAATTTCATACAATCACATTGGAAAAATAGTTGTGTCTACAAATGTACTTTCAGCAAAGGAAGCCAACAAGATGAAATATTGCGAGGGACTATGTGCAAAGTATTCGTGAAGTCAATGACTCCATTCAGCTTCTAATTTACATGTCCGTAAGCCAAGACAAAAGGGGAAACTTCAGAGCTGATGCTGGGCTTTTCTTAATTGTAGCCTTTAGGGATATAAATTCTGGTCAGAGAACCCAGTCCTTTAGAGATGGAGGACCTATCACTGCAGAAATGCAATTCTGAAAGTCCTTCTTATGGTATCTGGTTTTTATCCTTCTTTTTGTTATTCCCCTTAGATATTTTGCTTTATTTTCCACAGCAGCCTATCTGTTTAACATTCCGACTTAGTCACACTGATGATCTGTTCTGCGCTTTTGAATGGTTAACTACTTGCTATAAATAAACACATCAATTTTCCTCTATTGCTACCCTTGCAGAAAGCTTCAAATAATTGCAATGAATCTAGAGTCCACTTATCATTAAATATATTTTTCCTTTAAAGAATATATAGCATATGAAATTACAAGCCTTTCATGAGCTAAGGATGAATTTTAGAATGCTCAAATAATATTTACAATGTAAACATCACAGTTATTACATAAAGGAAATCACAATATTCACAACACACTTTATTTGGTTTTGCTATGGAAGTTGTTCTCTTGAATTAGATATGTAAAACTCATAATGTAGTCACTTCGTTGTTTTCCTTCATGAATTCTGGAATGAGAAAAGAATTAGAGCTTTAAACACAAACAATTTTAAAATTTGGCTCATGTTAGCTTTACTGCTCAGTTACTAAACCTCAATGTCTCCTTGCCCCTTGTCAACGGCCTCAGCTGAGACCGTACCTGGCAGAGCCAAGTAAGAATTATTCCTAGAACACCGACTGTCACAAAGGTACTAGGGGGTGAATAGGCTCTCTACTTAACCATTGATAAGGAAGCATTTGTAATTTTCACAAGGGAACTGCTTGCAGGAGAGCCTACGGCGCTTGTTTAAAACCACCCCTCCATGATCTCAGTGGTCTCTCATAAATGGCCTTACAGTCTATAATGGAATCTGCCCTTATATTTTGGTGTTTGCCATGTTCTTTATTTGTAATACTCACTGTATAAAGCAATGTTATATCTCTTGGTGTTGGGCGTGGAACCCAAGGCTCTTGTGCGGGCAAGACAAATGCTTTACCACCAAGTGAGACCCTTAGCCTGGCTTTTTTTTACCCTTGAGCTAAGGATAGGTCGTTGGGACTGTCTATATATGATATTGTTGTTACGGCCAGCTCCTGACCCCTTTAGCCCAAACACAGGGCTAGCTATTTCCCCAAACTTAGCCAAGGCTGGAATCGTGTCTACCTTCAGAGTCTACAAATCAGGTTCTACTGGGACCAGCCACTCCCAACTGTTTTGTATCTTTTCTTGGTTACTTCCATGCTAAATGGTTGTAACAGAAACCAGATAGCCCACAGAACTGTGACCATCTCTCCACAGTTTATTAAGGAAAAGTGGACTGATTTTTGACAAGGTGATAAAACATACTTTTGTCACTTGTCAAATATTGTGAGCAGAATCAGATGAAACACCGAGATTAGTGTTCCCGTAGCTTGTAAAAGAATACACCTTGTATCCACATTTATATAAAAGCAATTGTGAAAACAGTCTATATCTCTTTGCAGAAGAGAAAAATAGCACATTTTATTTTTCTATTCAAAACTATTCCACAACGAACACTGCTGGGGCTATAGTGCCTCTACTCACTTCATAGATCGAGCTTTGGCCTTCGTTCCATGATGGCTGCTATATTCATAGCACTGTAATCAATCCCAGAATGCCTTGGCATTTCCATAGTGCGCTTCTGGGTTATCTTAACTGAAGATCTAACAGGCAGTCTTGGGACTAACTCTTAAATGAATAGAAGCAGCATGAATTGAGTCTGCAGACTCAGACATTTTCCCTCATAAGTGTGAGTCAGGATGCTGTGTGTTTTAATTCCAGCACACACATGGGAGAAAAGTGAAAAGAGAAGAAGGCCAAACTCCTTATGGTGACGGGTGCCCTTGTCATAATGAGAACAGAGCAGGTGTTCACTGGGGTGCAATAGGCCTCAGGTAGAGGTGTTATGCAGAGTAGATAATATCTCCAGATAGAGGAAAATTTAGCCCTAGGATATTTTTGTCAACTGGCTCCTTCCTGAGTCTGTTCTTCACAGTAGCTGTGAGCCTACAGTAAGAATCCATAGGTGCACTTACCTCTGATCTTCAGCTCTCCCCAAAGGAGCCTCTTCATCATTTTTCTAGCTCTTCAGGGAAGTCTGGAGAGTCTCCCTCACTGCTGCAGACCAGAAGGAAAATGCATGTGTTAAAATTCTCAGCTGAGGAAAGTTCCAAAGAAACAATTATAACACCATGACTAGGTCATTATCTATGCCCTGCACGATGCACTGGCGATAAACAATGATCTCTGCAGATAGTGATTGCCTGTGAATTGTCTAAAATCAGTCTTATGGAATTATCACTTAGTAAGCCAAGAGGATACTCTTATCTGATTTTACTCAAACAGAATTATGCTTAAGGCTCACTGTTCATACAAAGACACCTGGAGTGAGAAGAGAGAGCACGCTACCCCTTATCAAATATTTGTACACCATAGGGACAGGTGCTTTTGGAACAAACACATAGATGACTCAATTAAATGTGAGGTTGGATACAGATATGATATGGTTCTCCTGCTTGCCAAAAAATGCTGATTGTCTTGTCCATGTTTTAAAAATAAACACCTGATTAAACTGCTGCCTAATTCCAAATAGCCATCATTTCCCAACCGCGTCGATGTGTAAATTCAAATGAAGTAACCTTTGAAGGTAGGTGTGTCCAGGTCAGTGTTCCCAGAGATACTGCTTTCTAATGGCTGTGGACTGGCATTCGTGACCCGGTATTTTAACGTTTGCCAGGGATGTTTGACACCAGCGTGAGTTGAGAATGGGTGAGCAGTTCACACAAAGCAGGCAGTGTGACGGAGAAGGAAAGAGGTCTCCAGATAGAGCTGACTATCTGAATGTCCATTACACATTTTCACTTCCCCAGGTATCTCTCTTTCCCCTTACCTCCGCTTTCCATTCAGAATGGAGTTCAAGTATTTCTTTACTGCCATTTGTTTCCTGAGGCGGGTGTAGTTATCCGTGAAGACTGCATCCGAGTGTCGTTTGATTGGCACAGGGTCTTCTGAGATGTTACTGCTAAAAACGAAGTGAGAAAGAAGTGAAAGTCAAGATGTCAATAGTAAAGAGGAGATGCATCAGTGCTCTGAACTTTTTCTTCTACAGAGTTTGGCACAGTTTGACTAGTTTTAAATTAGCTGCTTAAGAAAGATGTGTTGAGTCATTAAGTACCAAAACTATTTCACTCGGGGGTAGGGGAGTTGGTGGATTTTATTTAATAGCATGCATTATTTTTCTCTAAATAAATTGAACATTATCAAAGGGTTGTCAATCTTGAGCAATGAAAATAACATCCAAGAAAGGAAAATAGAATTTGGAGATAGAGCATTTATTAAAAAAAAAATAGTAAGTCCTCTTTACCTGATTCGTTTTCCAATGAGTGACTCAAGGTATTTTTTGGCAGAGATCTGACCCAGAAGTCTACTGTAGTCGCTGGTGAAAACTCCATCAGCATGCCTGGTGTTTCTGAAGCAAGGAAGCAAACACATGATAGCTTGGTAAAGCCTCTTGCAGAGGTCACCAAAAAAAAAAAAAAATCTGCAAGCTACTTACAGAACTGGTCACTAAAACTTCAGTCAAAAGTGAAGTCTCCTAACACCATAGCAAAAGGAAATTCCTAGTCACTTGAAGCAAGATATGAACTAGATGATTCTAGCCCAACATCTTAAAAAAGTGAGCTATTTTAGGTACATGCTTCATTTTTATTCCCTGACAGGATATTTAAAACGGATTTTTTAATACATTTTGTTTTAAAAATTCATTTATAGTTTCTATATATTTATGTATTTTTTAATGTGGCCTTAAATAAAAATACATACAATGAAAAAATATGTTAATTTGGTCAAACTCACCAGTATTCTGTATTTTAATTATTCTTTTCCACCAAAAATAATGGGGAGCAAATCTCTTGCGATAGAGCAGACCTTAGGTCCACGAGTGAATCCCATAAAAGTGAAACCTCTTTTATACTTTATCCTTAGTGTGACGCCATTTGGTCTGTTCTGAAGCATGACTCTAGACAGTCAGCTGCTCCTGTGAACAGCACTGTTGGCTGTCTGGACCCTTTGCCCCTGTTTCCTCCTGGAATCCTGACTGGCAGTTTGACCTGGCGTTTGTCTAACCTGAGCTGTTGAAGTGAGGCTCACAGGGTGCAGGGAACTTATGTCAATCAGGCTGAGCCTCGAGTCAGAGAAAGCTATCCCTCGGTAAGATGAAACTAGGATATTTAATCTTTTCAAATGTGCTTCCTCGGTAGACAAATAAGAGTGAACTTACCTGGAAACATCATAATAGGGTGTGTCGTTTTCCGCTAAGGCATTCTGCAAGATGTCAGTGTCTGCTTTTAATGAGACTTGATCAGGATCACTTGCTCCTTCAAACTGCATCCTGTCATCCAACCTATTAAGGTAAAACACAATAGAAATGCAATTCTGTCCTCTCTTAAAAGATGGTATTTGTGGACCTACAACTATTTAGAGCAGGAGAAAAAGATATTGGGACATATCCTTCTGCAAGATAAGAATAGAATAATTTGACTCTATAGCTTCCATGTTTAATGAAAATATAAGCAGTAATTTTGTGTGAGCTCACCAAAATGACATCATTCAACTTTGATAAGCTTTCTAAACCAAACATAATTTCTACATAATTCAATTCTAGCAAAGCCGTAAGCAAAGCGCATTGCTTCGGTGTACCTGACTATGTCCTTTTGTGATGCAGCATTAACAGGTAGGATGTGTTATACAAGATATAGACAAACAAAAAGCGAGTATTCAGTATGAAAACTGATACTTATGTAAGTGGTGATGATTGCTCATATTCAGGAGAGGAGCAGCACACAAGTTGCTTTTCTCTCTCTAGTTCCCAGATGTGTACCCCTAAGCTTTATGTCATTGATCAAACCAACAGATCTCCACATTTGTGAGTGGTTATTACAAGACAGTGAATTTAACGTGACCCGCCAGTTCCTCATATTGCACGTGTTAGCACATTCTTGGTAGAAATGCATTATGCTGTACTACAAAATAAGAATTGTCTTTATGACATATAGAATATGACCTACTTGTGGATGCATGTGTATTTTTAATATCAGTACTACTTTGAAAGTGTGTGTGTGTGTGTGAGAGAGAGAGTGTGTGTGTGTGTGTGTGTGTGTGTGTGGAGTGTGTGTGAGTGTGAGCATGAGTGTTTATGAGTGTGAGGGCATGTATGTGCAAAATTAGGGTTAACCTCCAAAGAGTTTCCTCTCGTGGGCACTTTGTATCTCTGGGTGGTGAGAAGCAGTCCTTCCTAGCCTGGGGCTGAGCAGTCAGTGTGGATTTCAGCATTCCTGTGATTGTTCCTGTGACCGAGATGTGAGTACTGGGAATCTAGCTATCAACGCATGATGGGGTGACGTGTTATACAATTTCCAGATCAATAGCTGAGAGATTATTCATTCTACTGAGCATAAGAAAGGACAAATAACCAAAAGGATGGTTTGCCTTTAGATGCCAGTGATTCTGCAGATTAGAAAGGGCAAGGGTGAGTAGATTATTAACATACATCTATTTTACTTTAGGTTAAATTGAGTTATGGTATGCTTTACGACTGTGAATCATGAACTTCAACACATCAAAGAGTAAAGCTAAGAACTGGTGTGTCAAACACCAATGCTGTGAGGATTGTAGCTTAGTACACACACTTCCTCATGATCGCTAATATTGGCTAGGCGATTTTTTCCTAGACCCATTTCTGCCCAATGCAATTTCATGTGTGTATCGCATTAATGAACTATTAATATTATAGTCATTTTATTAAATGTAAATTTAAATGAAATTGGCATGTAAACAAATATTTTTTTTCTACCAGATAAAGAACTGAATGGAGATGGAAAATCAAAGGAATTTGTTTGTTTTCTAACACTAGTTTGGAAATGGGACCCATCTGGTATGCAAAACTGATGTTGTCTTTCATGTACAGAAGGTAAATTCTGGATCCCAGAACAAGCTTTCCGAGTTTGGTTGGAAACAAATTTGCTTAGCATTATAACCAAAGTATTGAAATAAATAGTGTACAATTTAAAATGCAGCACTCTCCGAGATGTCATATGGGAAATCTCATTTAGATACTCAGGAAATGCCTGAGGTGAGGGTGTGCTTTCCTGGAATGAAACTTACCTCCCAGCAGAAGGTGGTCCAAAGAGAGGCCAGGCCAGGGACTGAGAAGACAGCACACTGAAGAGCATCAGGAGCACCAAGAACTGGGGCTTGCTTCTGGCTTCCATCTCGGTGCCTCTGGAAAGAGAGAAGGTGCTGGCTTTCCCAGTCACACTTGGCAACATTCTGAGGGCCAAGCAATACTGCTAAGGGCTCTTGTGGAGTTGAGAAAAAGTCATTTCCTCTTTAGAAAAGTATCAGATTTGTTGCCATAAGATTACTTTTAAAAAATAAAGATTTCCCTTGGGTTAAGACATCTGAATGCAAGCGAATTTCCCTTTTGTCTTTCCCTCAGCAGACACTCAGGCACCGTTAGTGCTTGTTCAAGACTATACTCCTGCTGTGCTGCAGATAAACAAACTCCAGACACAGTGTTTTGATAGCACAGTTGTAATATCCAACCTCCATGTCTTTTCTGGTGAAAGAAAAAGCTTCAAGGAATTCGTTGGGGTTTTTTTCCCCTTTAAACTTCAATGTCTGATTGCTATAAAACTGGAGTGTTACCGGTACACTTAATGATTTCTAGTAAGTTATATTCACAAGTTTGAATGTTTATGTGTACATATAGAATAAAAAGTATAGCTCTGCATCATTAAGAAAAATCTTGTATACATATGATAGTTAAATTCTTATTTTCCCCGCATGCATTAAAGATATCACTGCAAACCCACAAATGAACTCAAGAATGAAAGCTGATGTCTCCAGAGTCACTCGGCATTGTTACAAGTTTTCCCAGAACATCAGTGTGTGTGTGTGTGTGTGTGTGTGTGTGTGCGCGTGCACGCGCGCATGCAGAACCCATGCGTCTTGCATTCGTCCATACACACATTGTATTTCTAAATGCTTTTCAGCATACATACAGGTGTTCAAAGATTTTGTCTCTGGATAACTAAAAGTCACAGCATTTAAAGAAAAGCACTTTAAGCAGAAGTTAAAAGCCTCAAAAACAAAGACAGCAACTGAACCCTTTGGTCAAAACTCCACACACAAGCAAACTCATCTTACTTCACTTTTTAAGATGCAATATTTAATAAAGGCAATATTTAAGTAAGACTAAGAATCTTCTAAACAGATGGGTTCATATGAGAGAAATTGAGGCATTTCTACCTTTATCGAGTGGCTTATTGTTACTATTTTATTTTGTTATTGCAAAAGATAAACACTGTAAAATGCTTTTTAAGAGAGAAAATTAAAAAGACAAACCTCTCCTATACAAAGTCCCAAAGGCAGATAAGAAGTGAAGGGAAGGTTTTACTTACCCTGGGCTGTTTCCTTGAGGCTGGGCTGCCTTTAGGGAGAGTAGGAGCTGTCTAGGGTGCTGAAGTCCTGGCCGGGAGAAGGCTCCACCAGTCTGCCCTGGTCCTGGGGAATGGATGTCTGTTGCCTGCTAGAGCTCTGCACTCCAACCTGACCAGCATTTCAAAGTCCCTCGTTTTATAAGGCTTGTGCTTGGGGCTGAGCAATCAGAAGGCTGCCCGAAAGACGTCACAGTGGTGATCCCATGGGATGAACAGGTCTTGAAGTTCTTATTAAATTGTCATCATGCCTGATTTATATACATTTATAGCAAACAAGTTCAAGATAGAGGAAATGTACTTTTTGAAACAAAAACAAAAATTAAAACTAAAAAGTGCCAAGCTGGATATGCAATGCTTTATTCTTTGCTTAGTTGTCATGAATTAGAGCATGATTATTATGTCGTCGCTCAGGGACTAAGGCATTGCTTAGAAAATAAAAACTTCTTGTAAAAAGAAGCAGAAAACAAACGCTTGTGTGTGTTATGCTTACAGTATAATTCTTATTGTTTCATGAAGTGTCAATTTTCTTAATACCTTTTTATCTTTATGCTGTTTATTCAGATCAGAATTATCATTTTATTGAAGCATATCTTAATTTTAAAAGCAACCATCAATAATTTTGCATCTTTCTGTTATTACATTTTCTTTATGTTGAAGTTAGTCCTCAGGGAAAGTTCTTAAGTCATAAAGATGCTATAGTATACACACTATTTCTTAAGCAATGACTTTATCACTCTTCCATACTGTAATTCCCACTACTTCCCTTCACATCTTATATTAAAGGTTTCAGAAATAAATGATGATCAGACTATACACTCCAGGGGTTGAATTTCTCTTTCTCTTCAAAAGCTTGCTCCTCATTTTATGTCTTTGCATAGTGTTGAATCTCTTCGTTTCCTACACTGCCTTCAAAACTCACCCCTACTTCAGAATTTTGACATTCCTGACTCAATCACTTTACATAAAGGTGGTTTCAAATATCAGTTGGTTTGAAATTTTTGTAGAGTACTGTGATGAATGCTTAATTTTTGCTGTTGATTTTGCACCCAAAGAAGTCGGACATACATTTTAATTGGGACATAACGTCAAAACGCAGCTAACGTAAGAGTGTCATAGAAAACAAAGACGAAGTTCTTTCTTTTAAAAGCCCTGATGTGCGCATGCTGTTACATTCCCTTTGCATTCTCCTCAGGGAGACGAAGCTCTCAATCTCCTTTACTCTCTTCTACTCAAAGATCTTAGTATCTCCTTGCTGCCCTCAAGGGCAACTGATGTAGTGAGAGTTGTCTTGCTGGGGCTTAATCATATTTTCTAATCCAGTTACAAGAAAAATTAAATGAATTAAATTTCAAAATGTCTGGAATTTTGTTTTCCAGTTGACAGCTCTGACTTAAGCCAGAGTTCCTGTGGCTTAATTCCAGGAAATCTTTTGTTTTTTTTTAACCAGTTGTTACAAACTAGAGGTTAAAATGGTTTTCATATGGAATTTTTTATTCTGAGCTCATTGTCACCAAATCCTCAGTGAAACAATTTCATTTTAAAACTGCACTGGAAAAACATAAATAGATTAAGGATTACAGAGGAATCGATCCTGAATGATAAGCCAAAAAAAAAAAAAAATGACATCAGGATCGCTTACCACTTGGTCTAAGAAGCAGTCATGAGGAGTAACTGTGATATATTTGTGCAATAATAAAGACAGTTTCTGCCATCATCATAATGAAACAAGGTAATAAAGAGAATTTGTTTTCTTACCTATGGAGGAAAATAGACCAAATCACAGAATTAGCTGAATTTACTCAGGACCTAAAGCCATTTTAAATGGAACCACAGCACCATCTGCAGTTTGAAGTATTAACTCAAAGATTTTATGAAACAGTGTTCCTTTCTGGTTTGTTTTCTTTTGTTTAAGGGCATGGAGAGAAAACCAGAGCTCCACTGATCAACTAATGGAAAGACTTTTTCACTTATGTTAACCATAAGAAAAATGGCTATATTGAATTTGTCATGAAGAATTTGTTATTATAAAACCCAAGTGTGTGGGGGGGAACAAATGTGCTGTTTAACTCTGCCTCATCTTTACTTTTGAGTGCTTTCTTTCCCCCACAGCCTCGCCATAGCATCCCCATTTTAGCATTCTCAGAAAATCTGTATTTGCTATCTAGAAAACTCTCATTTGTCTGCACAGTGAAGGCAATTTATTCCTTTTACAGACGAATAAGCTGATGCCTGCAGTAGTTTCTTATCTCACTCCTGTATTTAGTAATGACCGTGGGACTGGGATCCAGGCTCTGCACTCTTGAAGGTGAGTCTGTGTCTCTGACACCTGTGGCTCTGCAGTTTGCCTGTAGTCAACTCCAGTTCTGAGACCTTAAAACCTTGTCAACGTAGGCAGCCAGAGGGCTGACACCTACATCTAGGGCCAAATAGACTCACCTCTTTGCCTGTTATATCTCTCAAGTTGAGAGTGGCATTTCCGTCTTTCAAAGATCAAAAACATGAAGCATTTTGGACATGTAAAAATTATATTTAAATGTCCATGCTCCTGTATTGTTGACTGGAACATGGACATGCTTGTCACATGTATGTATGCTGTGGTTGCTTTGGAACTACAACACCTGAAACCCCCAAATCCTAATGTCTCCTCTGATCTTTCATGAAATAAAGCTTCTCTTGACCGGATAGATGACTCAGTGGTAAAAAACACTGGTTGCTCTTCCATGGGATCCAGGTTCAGTTCTCAGTACCTACATGGCAGTTCACAACCTTCTGTGACTCCAGCCCCAGGAGATCCAATACCCTCTTCTGGCCCCTACACACACTGTATGCATTTGATTCATAGACCTACACTTAAAATAAAAATAAGTAAGCATTTTTAAAAGTTTCTTACCAACCTCTAGGATAGAACTTCTTATTTAAAAAATTTATAAACTATATATTAATATTCATCACTACAGATTAATTATATTGTAATATAACTTAAAAGTATGTTATATAATATCTGTATATGTATAGTATTTAATATAACATATTAAAAGGAATATAAAACACACATTGAAAGTATACTTTATATGATAACAATAAAGAACATGTACCTATACTTGTAATCCCCTTTCTTTTTTATTGTATCCTTGTTTTGACACATATGTGTGTTAATGCTTTGACATGTGTATATGCTGTGTGACCTTTAAGTCAGGGCAAGCCTATTGTCTTAAGTATTTATTATTTCTTTATAATGAATACATTCAAAGCAATTTCTTTTTGATATGTTCTGCTTGTCATTTTCAGAAACATGAGTGAAACTGTAGGCTATTATGTTGAGTGAATCAAGCCAGGCACACAAGCCAGGAGCCATAGGATCTCCCGCATATGAGAGACCTGAGAGTTGATGTCATGGAAGTTAATAAGGACAATTACCAGAGGATTAGGGAAGGCGCGCGCGCGCGCGCGCGCGCACACACACACACACACACACACACACACACACACACGTAATGGTGAGAAAAGGTTGGCCACTGGGTATTAAGACACAATTAAGAAGCCCTGGATTTAGAGAGCTTTAACTGAAGAGGGAACCCCAACCCTGAATGTGGGCAGCACCATCCCATGGACTATGCATGGTCCTGGGATGAATAAAAAGGAGAATGAGATGGGCAGTGGCATTCATCTCTCTGCCTACTGACTGCAGGTGAAAGGTGCCCTGTCAGGCTTCCCTGCCATGACAGAGGCGAGTCAGAGTACACCTTAAGTTGTTTGTTGGTAAGTATTTGATTACAGAGATGAGAAAGGTAACTAACTCAGGTAATTTTAAGCAACTGAACAAATGGTGACTTCAGGAACATGATAGAGAATGACCTCTCCCTTGATTCTGAAACATCATGACCTCTCCTACTCACCGAAGCTGGGAACGCTACAAAGATTATTCATTTCCCAGCCCCCTGGCTTAAAATACTTGTGCATGTCTGTGAAATGAACTCCGTGAGTTGTTCATATATTGTTAAAGTTGTTTATTGGGAACATCGCAGAAAATAGATTTGAGAAAAGGAAAAGTTGTAGAGAAAGCACAGCCTCATGAAGTTCAGAGATGCTGGGGTGGGGGACAAACAAAGAATAGTTTAATTAAAAAAAACTTGATTACCTTCATAGTGTCCTGGTCCTATATGTCCTCTCACTGCCCACATCCCGAGGAGCCAGTCTTTAACTCAGTGGTCCCCTAGACTCCCTAATGGAGAAAATGGGAAACGATTTCTAAAGGTTGGTTTGAAGCTGCTGCAGTCTTGTTGGTAAAGTGAATAACTGCACAAGAATATCTGCTGGAAGTATTCTCGTGGGCTCCCATTCTGCACAGAATAAAGTGGTGGTGCTTGCACCTCTATGCTCTATGTGGGAATTGTCAGTCAGGGTGAGGACTAGATGGTAGACACTACTACACTCAGAGCTGAACAGTAGGGGGCAGCATTCCATAAGACACAGCAAACAGTAATAGGCAGGAAATAAACAGATCACGAATGACAGAACTGTTAAGTCTGAAAATGATTGCATTTGTACATTGGTAACTAGGGTTACATTTTCTGTAGAAACAGAACTCTGAGCACATGCTTTGTGCTACATGAGTTGTGAATATTTATCTTGCTACTCTGTAGCAGCTAGGGGGAGTTTTCCAGGACTCTATTATACATAATATCAAAACCAGCTTAAAGGACACAGAAACCTGGTTACAGAGCTGTGTACCGGAGTGAAGATGGCTGGCAAAATGGAGATTGCCCCCCTTGTTGTTGACAGCCATGTGTCCTGGTCCATCTTTGTCAATTCCACCTCATCCCCAGTATTGACATCACAGTCTTCCTTAGACAAATCTTCAAAACTTTTTGCATAGAAGCATGGAGAAAGGTCATTTAAGCTCCTAGCAAGCTGTCAGATTGATGAGAAATCGATTTTTGAAGACTGTGGTTGAAGCATAAATAAATTTGAAGCCAATCCTGGCCTTTGATGTCACCCAGGTTCCTTCAGGAAATGGGTTGAATTCACACATGTCCAGAGGAAAGGTCAGTATGCTGCTGGAGTCCCCACATCAGATCATTACTGGGGAACTTGCCAG